ACATACATATATAGTTTATCTGAGTTTATCTCTTTCTAAATAAAATATTAAATATAATATTATATGTATATATAATATTACCTTACCTTTTCACGTTCCAAATTTGTCAACTCGAGTAACGTACTCTGACTTACTCTTTCCCCCACTACTCCGGGTTCTTTAGAGTTACTCGGAGTGAATTTTCGAACGCACCCCTGGATGTTGACCAATAATGGACCAATCACATTGAATCAGTCTTATTGTGATTGGTCCATTATTGATCGGCAATCAGAGTTGGCAGTCGGGTCGGCCTGCAGAATCGGTAGTCTGATACGGGCTTAAGGGCCACTGTCACCAAGCTCAGTTTAACTACGCTCAATTTAACTAGGCCAGTTAGTCCATCGGAATTGACCAATCGCATTTGTCATTTTATTTGAAGAATTGATAGATTGATCTCAGATCGGAATCCATCGGAATCAGATCAATTCCGATGGATTAATTGACCCAGTTAAGTTAACTGATGGCGAATTCGATTGGAAGAACTAGTGCGCACTGGTGCATATTAAAGCCGTTGTACACTAATTTAAATTAAATATAAAAATGAAATGCAAATATTTCGAATTATGAAATACATATTTTACCTAATAGCACAATAAAATGTATTAAGTATTTCATTTAAAGTATTTTATTTAATCGATCTCTATGTTTATTTATTAACATATCTTTACGTTATTTCGTATACGACGGCTTTAATGTGCACCAGTGCGCACTGAATGCTTCCAATCGAATTCGCCATGAGCTTGGTGACAATGGCCCTAAGTCGGTCTCACCTTGCAAAACTTCTAGAAATGATATAATACTACTTCCGCCGCGCGGCAAAAGTTGAATTGAGTTCAACTTTTGTCGCGTGGTGGAAATTATGGGTGCTTTCCAGCAAGGACATAGTCAGACTCTGTGTAACAGTGAGTCGTTTCATCCTTGTTATTTACCAACGTTAAACAAGGATGAAACGACTCATAGATCTGTTCGCGTTGCATGAAATACCCAAATATTTTTGCACTTAAAATGAAATAGATATATATAAGGTTGTCAAATATCTCCCTTCCGCTTTTTTGCTCTTTATTCAATGCTTTATAAAAAGTGTTACAGTGATCGGATTTAGTTCAAATATGCGCCGTTTTGTTCGATAATCTGTTTCCATCTAGACGGCAACTTCATAATACCCCCCTCGTAGAAGCCCCCCTCCTTACTTGCGAAGAACTCGGACAGCCACTTTTCACAATCCTGTATTGAGTTCAACTTTACACCACCAAGGGCGTTCGCCATGGACAAGAACAGGTGGTAATCACTTGGCGCTATGTCCGGGCTATATGGTGGATGCGATAAAACCTCCCATCCGAGCTCCCGTAGCTTCTGACGAGTCATCAACGAAGTGTGTGGTCTGGCGTTGTCCTGGTGGAACACTACACCCCTCCTGTTGGCCAATTCTGGACGCTTCTGGTCGATCGCCTGCTTCAAGCGGTCCAGTTGTTCGCAGTAGATGGTAGAATTAAGCGTCTGGCCATATGGGAGCAGCTCATAGTGGATTATACCCTTCCAATCCCACCAAACACACAGCAAAACCTTCCTGGCCGTCAATCCCGGCTTGGCCACTGTTTGGGACGATTCACCGGCCTTCGACCACGACCGTTTTCGCTTGATATTGTCGTATGTGATCCATTTTTCGTCGCCAGTCACCATCCGCTTCAAAAATGGGTCGAGTTCGTTGCGTTTCAGCAGCATATCGCAGGCGTTGATTCGGTCCAGAAGGTTTTTTTGCGTCAAATCATGCGGCACCCAAACATCAAGCTTTTTTTTGTATCCAGCCTTCTGCAGATGGTTTAAAATGGTTTGGTGACTAACTCCCATCTCCCGGGCGATGTCACGAGATGCCACATGCCGGTCTAACTCGATGTTTTCTATGATTTGATCGGTATTCGTCGTCACAGGTCTTCCGCCGGCTGGCTTATCCATGGTTTCGTTTTCACCGGCTCTGAATCGTCGAAACCATTCCTCCGCGGTTCGAAGTGATAGAGTACCATTCCCCAAAACACCATTAATCTCACGGAACGTTTCTCTAGCGGATTTGCCTTTAACGAAGGAAAACTTTAAAATAGCGCGAATTTCGGCGTTAGTGAACTCCATGTTTACACGTCTATAACTGTTGAACGCAATATCCAAACTAATCATGCATAGCGTCGTTTTGTAGGTTATGTCAAGACCTTTGAAATGGTGTATAGTATTGCCAGATACGACCTCTGTAGCGCTTTGTACATAGCCGCGAAATTCAAAAGACAAAAAAGCGGAAGGGAGATATTTGACAACCTTATATTTGGCCTTGAAAAGAGAGAAAGCGAAGATGCCGAGTGCTAAAAGTGCAAGCAACGCGAACAGATCTAATGTGTTACACAGTGTCTGACTGTGTCCTTGCTGGAAAGCACCCATAATTTCCACCACGCGACAAAAGTTGAACTCTATATATCTATTGCTGGGTACTTATTATGGAACATGTCGGAATGAATTCCGTTTTCCCTAGAAAACACAATTGAAATCTAGGGAATAATTGAATAATTCCGATCGGAATCTATTCCGATTTTTTCCATGATAGGTGCCCTGGGGGCACCGATTATGGCCCGTATTCATAGTCAAGCCTTAAGTATAAAGCTGGTTCTACATTAGTCGCATCGCAACGTAGCAAGCGTTGCAGTCCAATCAACGTCAAGCTAGCTCGACTCTGATTGGACCATAACGCTTGCGACACGCTTGCGACGCTGCGATGCGATCAATGTAGAATGAGCTTAAGGTCTGACTATGAATATGGGCATATGTATCTCGAAATAATGTGAAAATTACAAAAGTGAGCAAATTCACTAGAATACTCATAATTTAATTGGTCAATAACTAGTGAATTTGCTCACTTTTGTAATTTTCACCTCATTTTGAGATACATAATCGACCCCCTGGATTCACACTGCATCCGATTTTCGTCGTACGACGTTCTGCATCCAATCAGAAAACAGGATTCCGATAATACGAAGTAAAATTCATCGGAATCCTGTTTTCTGA